GAGGGTCCCCTCGACCCTCTGCCTCTAGGCTGTTCTGTTTGCCTTCGGGCTTCTTTTGATCTTGAATACAAGACTCTTTGTTTCTTATCAAAAAAAAAAAAAGCTATATTGTAGTTACAAAAAAATCTCCTATTTGTGAGGCACCAAGAGGCCGTTGTAATTAGTACGTCTCAATAATTCTCATCACTCACTGATCTGATCAGTGTGACTAGAAAAATTGAGAAGTATCAATTACTTGAAAATTTTCGATAAGTAAAATACAACAAACAAGAATAAATAACTCAACACATATTCCTAGATTTTTCCCTATTTTTTGTTCATAAAAATAACAATGCAAAAAAAGAAAGAAAACGTTGTTTTGATTTCTTATTTAAGTCATGGAAAAATAGTGACACAAAAAAAACGCAAGTATGTCATCTTGAATTACTTGAAATTACAACTATTAACAATGCATTGAAAGAAAAACTAAAGTTTGAACATTAGATCAAACAATCTAACTAAAATATAAGAAAACACAAGATATTGACTAAAGGAAAAAAAAACATACCGAAGGAAAAAATAAGACTCAGGTTTAGGTGATGAAAAAGTTGGGAGAAAGAGCTACTTATATAGTTGTAGAAGTTGTAGAAGATGAAGAGTTACAAAACTTTTGAATTTTCCTTACGAATTATTAATAACTTTTTTTAATTATTTATAGAAACAAAGAGACAAAATTATAGTTACAAAAAAGACTAATTTCCCAAAAAAAAAATTATTTTAGTAGAATGTATATTATTTTAATAGATGTTGTATTCATATACATTCTATTAAAATAATAAAGGTGTTATTATTTTAATAGAATTTATATGAATACAACATCTCGAAACTTGACAAAAAAGTACTCCAGAAAAAATTAAATCACTTTCTTTGAACTGGGGTAAGATTAGAATTGACATCGGCAAAAAGATCAACATTTTGAGAATTCCAAATACCCAAAAATAGCAACAAAAATCGTCGCTCAACTCACACGTAAGCACTTTACAGATTTTTAGCATCATACTCGATTTTTAATAGAGTGCATATGAATACAGCATCTAGAAACTTGACAAAAAAAGTACTCAAGAAAAGGCTAAATCACTTTCTTCGAACTGGGGCAAGATTAGAATTGACATCCGCAAAAAGATCAACGTTCTGAGAATTCCAAAGATCCAAAAATAGCAACAAAAATCGTCGCTCAACTCACACGCGCAAGCACTTCAAAGATTTTTGACATCATACTCGACTTTTGATATCAAAGCTTTGTATTTCTATGTAATCTTGGCGATTCCTTCAGCAAGCTCATGCATAATTCGCTTGAATCTTCAATTTTTTTCCAGATAATTCTTCTAAACAGGCAACCCTTTCTTTGTTAATCTTTTACAACTCCATATCTAGAAGGGCTGAACAAGCATTGAGGTCTAGAGAAATTTCAACCGGTGGATCAATCTTTGGAAACATGAGAGGAAAAGGATGAGGCGATGCTCCAAGGGAACTTGCTAAGGAAGAGGGCTGAAAATCCATTGGAATGAAAAACTTAAAACCACAGGATCCTTCAAAAAGTGAATGAAAGAGAACCCTTTAGATGACAAAGCAAGGAAGATCAACGGTCATGGAAACACTGAATCCGAAGAGGGGACATTAACACTTGATCTAAACAAGGAAACTCTTAAAATTCCGAAGTGACTTTTTGTGGAAAAAATCCTCCTTTATGAAATTAATTGCAACCGAAACCATCCACAAGGGATATTAAAAGCTACTTCCATGAGAATTAAGACTTCTACCTTTTCCAAGATCCAATAAAAGATCAACAGAACCCCAGAGACTTAAACTTGAATAAAGTCGCACCCTCCTTCCAAAGTGACTCTTCATGGAAAAAAATCCTCCGTTTTGAAGTTAATTGCAACCAAAAACAGCCACAAGGGATATGAAAAGCCACTCCCACACGAATTAAGATTGCAACCTTTTCCAAGATCCAATAAAGACCAACAGAACCCCAAGAGACTCAAACTAAAGAACGTTAAGAAAGTCACGCCCTCCTTCCTGATAAACCCGAAGAAACCTTGAAATCCCAAGACTTAAAACTTGAGAAACATCAATAAAGTTGTAATCTCCTTCCTTCCAAAACTTCATTTATGGAAGCAAAACCTTTCCAACCATGGCAACTCATTACAAACATACTCAGCCCCTAACAACAATCCTTCAATATGAAATGAAGAGTCTTCTACTTCCTGAGATAATTGGCACTTAAGACTTGATGATCTCAAAAAAAAAAAAACATAAAAAAAGACTTAATCTCATATACTTGTAAACCACACTTTTAAATGAATGCTGAAAAGATCCCCTTTGAAGGATCCTTGGAAGGAGAACCTCCAGTGTTAATTTCATCAGTATTTTTTGGAAAAATACTAACATCTGAAGCAGGAGGAATTGTGGCAATTTTGGAAAAGATAACATTGGTCAAAAGAGTCTTCTATAGGATCTTCCAGTTTACCCATGCAAATAGATTCGGATTCAATACCACTAATGCTTACTTCAAAAACCAAGTCTGAATCAGTATCTCCATTGGTTGAATTAATTACACCAACCATAATGTTATTCTCCTCGTCAATGGTTGTAAGATCTTTCAGATTCTTAGGGATAATCGGTTGGTCGTCCTTTTCGGGCTTTTCCTTTAAAAAAGACTTCAAGCATCTTTCCAACATAAAGCTTCAATTATTAGATGATTGAAAGATGAAGAGGCAACAACCAAAAATTTCATTAAAAATCTCCTCTACCCTTGATCTTCGAGAGTGAAAACATAGGCACCCTTGTGGCACCTTTTTGGCGCACTTTTCAAAATAATACTTAAATGCAAATCTGAAGTGGGCCACTATGGTGGCACCTTTTTGGTGTACATTTCAAAACATTGTCTATAAAGCAAATTACAGAATTTCAATTTTCTTCCTTCTTTTTATAAGAGACAAAATATATAGGAGGCGGGAACAACCTAAGGGCAGGGGCTGGGAGGGCCCCTCCCAAAAAAACTAATGCATTACAGCCTTCCAATCAAGGATGTTCATATCTAAACTGTAATTACAAAAGAATTTCTTATGATTGAGGCACCCAGATACGTATTGATTTGTACACTTACACAAAATAAAGCAAAAGGATGGGCTTCATTGTTAAAATATTTAAATTTTTTCCTTTTTTAATAAACCTTTGAAAACTAAATAAAATTGCAGAAGATACAATAAATATAACCTTCATAACTCGTGCACATGTGTAATGACTACCATTTCAATATAGGAAAATTAACTTTAAAAGAGATAAAAATAAAATCATTGAAATTTACCTCCTCAGCAGTGTGAATTAATACTGTCCCTTTTGTTTCAGTTGCAGATGTATCAACGCCACCAGCAAATACAGCAACCTTCATCACAAATGTTCAAGAAAATAAAAACCTAAATAATTTAGAGAAAAAACATTCACACATATTTTAACTGTATGACAAAATAAGAGTTAGAAATTCTTTTTAGATATAAAAGTATATAATGAACACCAAAGTTTAATCATTAATGTTACTAATACTATATTACTATGTAATTTAGTTTGGTGAAAACAAAAGCAAGCCAAGTTCAAAACAGATAAAGATTCCTTATCATCTATCAGAATCACCAAGACAGCATCCCAGAAAAAATTAAAGAGAGAGAAAGCCACTTAACCAAGTAATGTGAAAATGAAAGATAACAAAACAGCTACCCCAGATATTATTTTCTTTTATTTTATGTCCTTACAGGAGGAATTAGCACTTCGAATTAAAAAAATGCTAATTTTATTTCTTAAAGCATAAATGATCTGTTTACCATTTAGCCATTAAAACTATTGCAACGGCTTTCAGATATACAATGACTGTACACAAGAAACACATTCATCATAATGGAAGTGTCAATAAATATTTGTGTGTACCTTTGCCTTCTCAATTCTTTTGATACTTCCCACAGCATCACTTTTCAAGACCATGCCACGCACTACTGAAGAATTATGTAAACCACCTCCTAGTAACTTTGCAACTCGAACATTGTCCACATTAAAATTTTCTGGATTCTTAGGACAAACTTGAATGCATGCCTGCAACACAAAAAATGTATTACATAAATAAGGGGGAAAGTTCAAAAGATAATTACTCAATTGTAATAAAAGTACGCAAATATACATCAGCAACTAGAGAACATATAAAATCTTCTTGTCCAAATTGCTTGCTAGCAACAGCAGCTTTCATTCGCGAAATAACTTGCTCTTTGTTACGAACATCCATGGTCTCAGAACCTTTCTCCACTAGTTCATTCAAAACCTCAACAGTCTGAACCCAAGAGAAGACAAGATATTAAAATGGCATGTTATAAAAGTTCATTTACATAATTTCCATTACCATTGTAGAAAGGGAGTAACCTTATTGATTCCTTTTGTGTAGCCACTGATTATTTCGCTAGGGTGCAGACCCATCCTGATGAGCTCTTCAGCATTTTGTAAAAGCTCCCCAGCAAACGAAATTGTCAGATTAGCTCCATCACCAATTTCTTCTTGCTGAGCTTTACCTGCTAAAACCAAAATCTTGGCTGCAGGATGCTGTACCTCAAGTTCATTGACGATTGTAGCAGCATCATTTGTGACAAAAAGCTTGTCTAGATGATTAATTACCATCTTATTCATTCCTGAGAAAAGATAATTACAAATAAGGCCATTCACATGGAAGGTAAGCTTGTTCTAACAGTACAAAGAACTCTGGAAAAAGCCATTAAAATAAGCAAAATAAAAGTACCATTAAATTAGAACAGAAGTCCATATGTATTTAGCACATAGGTAGGAGAAGCATTTCTAGAAGAATTTTGTCCTAATAAATTTCTGGAACTTTTAAATTAACCTCCAACCTTAGACGTTTAACAAAAATTATCTATACCTTTTGTTTTACGAGGAACTCGTAGCAGTCTCCGCCTGACCCTACTACATTTGATTGACAAGGAAACTCGTAGAATATTAAATCCTAGGTAGGTGGCCACCATTGTTTGAACTCATTCCCTCTAAGTCCTTTGCTATTTACTTTATTATATAAAAATTATCTATAGAACTTTATTATATAAAATGGCTTTATAAATTTTCTTGGAAGAGATTGTACCGAAATTATTTTTTACCTTTTACTCTCATTTGTACAACAAATAATGATTTCTTTCTTATAAGAAACAATTTTATTGAAGTATGAAATTAAAAAATAAGGAACACTAATCCAAGGGTGTTACAAAAGCATCTCCAATTTACTTTATGAAAAATTAGATGGATTTCTTTGAACAATTACTTTTTTTAATTAAAAACCCAACTTTCATTAACAAGAATGAAAGAATATTAAAAGATACGCCTCGGTGCTTGGTGCCTCACTCTTTGAGCAAGGAATCTTTTTATTTTACTTTTTATTTTTTATAAAAGAAATTAGAATGTGGTCTAAAAGCCTAAATCTCTAAATAATACCTTACATTAGTCCTCAATTACATAAAATGAACTTTATATCGTCATTCAGAGTACAAAATTTTTCATATATAAACATTTTGTTTATATTTTTCTATTTTTACACTTAAAATTTTAAAATAAATAGATAGTAAAGAAACCCCTCTTTTCTTTTTCCACTTCGAATTTCAGTGCACCCACACTATAAAACCAACGATATCAACAATTAATTTTTTTATAAGATTCCAACTATATTTATAAAAAAAAAAAGAGATAAAAAGTCAGCCTAAAAAAAATAAACATATCCAAACAACATGGGATAAACTAAAAATAATAATAATAATAATACACCAACGGTAAGTGACTAAAAAATATAGTACATTTTTCTAAAAATACTATTTACACTAGCCTAGAGAGCAATATTAAAAGGGGCCAAATTCTGCATTGCTACCCTAAAACTCTCTACCTACTCCCTAAAACTCTTTTACTCCTTTCCAACCGAAAATCTAAAAAACTGCCAAAATAATCCAAATTTCTATAGAACTCTTCCTTTTCTGTAGAACGTCTGACACAAGAATCCTCTGTCCCCCATCCAATCACAGGAACTCCAAGGAAGCACATGAGAAACAAAAAGTTTTCAGAAGCTCCCTCAAATCTCATCATCAGAAAACATACAAAGCCACAACAGATGATCAATATTTTCTTTCTATCTTTTGGTCACTAAACATTACATTGATGAGATGGAATTACAAAAGCAAGAGGAGAAACTCCCCAAAGGAATTGATGATCGAATATTGATATCTTGAAAAGCTTGATTTATAACAAAGTACCATAAAAGCAGATCTCTGAATGAAATCATAGGTACTAATCCTACCAAGAGGCAAGACCCACAAGCCAAGGACAAAATCTAATGGTAATTGGAATGAAAATATTCTTTTATCAATTGTAATTGGATGGTGGTTTACATAATTCTTCAGTAATTGGAATTTTTTATATGCTATATACATTACATAGAGTATTTCCTAACCAAACTTGGACATAAAATCCCAGACCCACCATATAATCATATATTAGTATAATATGTTGGCATTGGCGAGGAGTTTGAACAGATCAAAACAATGAATGAGAAGGTTTGAAATAATTATGTCGGACTAGCAATTTCACTTAGCTAACAGTACAAAGTTAGCCCAGTTTCTTCCACAAAATTAAATTCACCAGTCGAGTGCAAAACTTTTCAGTTAGAAGATATCTACTTTTAAACCTATAATTTTACAATTATACATTTCGGCTACTTCCATCCAAATTTCATTGAACTTAATTATTATTGGCATGGTCATGTCGTTCAGTATGGTAAAGCTGCATGATATCTTTATTACTCTCAAATTTACCTCCTGGTTAAAAAACTGCCATAGTATACTGTACTACAGTTAGCTGTGAATTACAGATAGCCTAATTGAAGAATGAAGGTTGAAATATTTGTCTATCACACCAGAAGTACAATTCTGAATAAACTTCCATTATGGGTCTTGCCTATTCAACCTCTGTACATCACACCAGATGTACGATTCTGAATAAACTTAACCATTAATGGTCTTGCCTACTCAACCTTTGTAGGATTTATTGTCCGATCTAGAATGTAATGTATCTCCGTCCGTCGTTAAAGAAAGTTTTGTCTCTCGGAAGGGGAAACGAGCCCCCCCCCCCTCCCTTCCCCCTCAGATGACGCATAAAGAGAACCAAAAATAACTTTTAAAAAGAACCAAAAATGGTTTGTATCACATAACACTAGATGGGTGCGTTACATTCTGATTTAAAGAACTGCAAACGACACAAAATGAGAAGAAATGGGAAAAAGAAGCAGCCAAAGAAAACATACCATTGGGACCAAGAGACGTTCGAGTAATGGTGGAAAGCTGCTTGCAGGCGTCGATATTCTTGAGGACAGCCTCATCCAGACCTGAGAGATGCTTGTGGCCCTCTTTAAGCATCGATTGAATTCCATGCGACGGCAGCTGGAACCCCATCGTCGTATTTCCCTGAAAAGGAGAAACTCGAGGCTGCAAATGGCACTGAAACCCTACAGATCGCAAGAGTGCGAAGTAATGGAGCGAGAAGCAAGAAAGCCCTAGAGAAGTTCTGTATGGAGTTGGTGATTGTGGGGAGAGTTCTGAGTTTTGAGTTTTGAGTTTTTGAGTGTGGCGGATGGGAGTGAAGGGTTTTGGGGCAAAATATTGTCAAAGTTACTCTGCCCTAATTTGAAGATCAGTTTTTGTATAAATGTGCCGGGAAAAATAATATAGTATTACTGAAAAAAAAAAATAAACTAGTACAATGCTCCTCAAGTTTTTTTTTTTTTATTCCGTGAGTGTCCGGGCCAATTTACGTGCAGTTCGACTAATTTCATGGGACAACCGCGGTGCCGGAAAAGATAGTTGACCATGATGAGATTTGAACTCATTCTCTCTTAATTAGCTCCTCAATTTTTTCTTAATATAAAAATGATGAGATGTCGAACCTCCGAGAGGAAATGAGTTAGGTGTCTTAACCATTGAACTAACCTCATGAATTAAGACAAGTTTGCTTAGCTCAACTCATTAAAACATATATATTTGATTCAAAAGTCGTAAATTCGAATCTCTCACTCCATGTTAATTTTAAAGGAATTAGATCATCAAAAAATAACAATAAGGTTCAAATATTGTGTTTGTCATTCTACTCTCAAATTTGTTTATTTTTGTTATGTAATTCTAACTTTATTCATTCAGTGTCATTTGATAACCATTTTAGTTTTTGATTTTTGGTTTTCTGTTTTTAAAAAACAAAAATCATGTATGTTTTATAACTATTTTTTGTTTTTTGTTTTTAAAAAAACAAAACACCAAAATATGTTTGGTAACCATTTTTAATTTTTTGTTTTTAAAAAGTTAGAAAATTGAAAATACACATTAGAAAGAGAAAATTTTGTGTAGAGTAGAGACGACAATGATGTGAGATGCGAGTGAGGATGCTCTCCCCCATTCTCGTGCTCGTGAAAATGTTTAGTCTCTGTCACTACCTCGTTCTTGGGTCCAAGGGATGTTCTCGAGAAAAATTATCGATTTTATAATTGTTTTTAATTATTTTTAGAATTTAAGACTCAACCCTGCGAAAATTTTTGTTTTTCCCCTACTGTAGAGACATGAAAATAGGGATGTAAATAAACTTTTGGAAGATAAATTTTAGAGAGATAAATAAAAATATTTAGAAAAAAAATAGTGAAAGAAAAGTTAAACACAAAAAGAGAAAAATTTTAGAAAAAAAAATAAAGTCGAGAAAAAAAATATATGTTAAAGAAAAAAGATATTACAAAGAAACAGAAAAATTATTGTGATGAAATGTAACAACACACTCAATATTAAAGAAGAGAGAGAGAAATGTGAAATGGAAGTTTATTATTCCCTTGAATTCCACTTTTTTTTGTTCTTCCAACCAACTAGAAAGGACTTCATGTTTTTATACTATGTGTGTATGATAGGCCCCATATTACTAAAGTGTATCAACGTAAGCGAGTGAGAGAGAGGGAGACGGTTTGAACGGGTGCATTACGCACCCTTGGCTGGGCCCGAGGGAATATTTGTTAGTTATGCATATAGGTATATCTAAGGGAAAGAGTAGTGAAGGGGTATCTTATTTTTTATACTGTGGCTTGTATTCTCTGTTGAGAACTTGGGAGAGGCAAGGTCTCTCTAAACTCCCTTGGCTTGTTGATAAATAAAATTGAGGCTTAGGCCTATCAATTTTGGTATCAGAGCCTTGTCTGGAAATGGTTGGGAGCAGGATAGAATCTAGGATTAACGAAGTGGAGGAGAAGTTGGAAGAGAAAATCGGAGAGATGCAACAGAAGATGGTTGAGTTGCAATCAAGCTTGCAATTGGGTATGACTGAAATGGAGGAAATGATGGAATTGGAAGTCGAGGAAATTAGGGGCGATTTAACGGCAATGTTCAAAAAGTTAGAGGGACTATTTCGGGAGAAAGAGGGAACAACATCCTTGGATCGAACTAGCATGGATAAGGGAAAGTAGAAAATGATTGTGGAAATTCCGCGAAGGCAGAACCGGTGGCCAAGGCGGACGAATCAAAAAATGGAGAAAAAAATGGAGGGAGATGTAAATGCACCTAGGGTTCGTGAAGTTTCGTTGTTCGATATGCGTCTGCATAAGTTGGAGGTGCCGATTTTCAAGGGAGAAGAAGGGGAAGATCCGAATAATTGGTTGCACAGGGTGGAACGATATTTTGTTGTGAATCGACAAACTGAGAAGGATAAACTGGAGGCGGCGGTTCTGTGCCTCGAGGATGAAGCCCTCTCGTGGCTCCAATGGGAGGAGGGTCGAGAACCATTTGCAACGTGGTCGGAATTTCGTGAAAGACTGCTGGAGCAATTTCAACCGCCAGACAAGGGAGACCAATATGTGAGATTTCTGGTGTTATGTCAAGAGACCACCGTCAAGGCTTACCAGCGGTTATTTGAGCAATATGCGACGACGTTAGGGATATTCTTGAATCAATTTTAGAGAGTAAATTCGTCAGTGGGCTGAAAGATGATATTCAAGGTGAGTTACGGATTTTGAAGCCCGTGGGCCTGAAGGCAAAAATGGCTTTGGCTCAAACCATTGCGGTGAATGGGCCAACCCGACAAAAAAAAAAAAGCAAATGCAGCTGTCTTCACTTTAAATAAGACGGGCAAATCTGGTTCGGGCGGGTCAAGATCGAATGGGTCGCAGACAATCTCACTTAACCAGACCCGAAACGCGAATTCTCCGTCCACAACTATTACGTTCAATCGCGATGTTACTGGAAAGGGCACGATGGCGACAACTCCATTCAAGCGACTGATGGTGGCCGAATTACAAAACAAGAAGGAAAAAGGGTTTGTGTTTCAAATGCGACGAAAAGTTCTCATCGGGTCATGGCTGCAAGAAAAGCGAGTTACAGGTCTTGGTTTGTCAAGAAGATGAAACGGGAATGGGGGACGAGATGGAACAACAGCCTGATTCTTCGCCTGAGGGATTGCCAGTCGAGGACCACACCGGAGGTGAACGGATGGAGATGGGGGCTCTGTCTCTAAACTCGTTGGCGGGGTTAAATTCTCCAAAGACATTGAAAGTACAAGGAGAAATTTGTGGACGCCGTGTGATATTCTTGTTTGATTGTGGATCGACCCATACTTTCATCTTTGAAGAAGTGTAGCAACGGGACTTCCAATCTCGCCCTCAGCGGGATACGACGTCGTCCTTGGTGTGATTCTAACTATTTCTTATTTAATGATTATACAAGATTTCCTTCCTTTGCCGTTAGGCAGTGCAGATGTCATACTGGGAATTTCATGGCTGGAAACGCTTGGCAAAATTCAGTTTGATTTCCACCTCTCGGTGATGGATTTTCGTATTGGTGATTGGCAAGTCCATATACAAGGGGACCGTGGCCTTGTCAAACCACAAGTTTCACTCAAGGCCATGATGAAGGCTAGGGACAAGACGACTAGGGAGTTCTTATCGAACTAAGTGCTCTTGATGGGGCGTCGGTTGGTCCGACCAGTAACTCGAACATCAGGCAATGGGAAGATTTTCCTCCATCCATCCGTATGGTTCTCCAAACGTTTCACCCATGTTTTTTAATCGCAACAGGCACTACCTCCTATTCAGAGTCGTGATCATGCCATTGAGTTATTACCAAGCGCTGGGTCCGTAAATGTGATACCATATCACTACCCCCAAGTTTAAAAGGACGAGATTGAACGACTGGTGAAGGAAATGCTAACGGCTGGAATTATACAGCTTAGTAAAAGTGCCTTATCAAGTCCAGTGTTATTAGTCAAGAAAAAAGATGGGAGTTGGCACTTCTGTGTTGACTACCGTGCCTTAAACCAGGTGACAGTGCCGGATAACTACCCGATACCTATGGTTGATGAGCTACTTGATGAGTTATTCGACGTAACAATATTCTCGAAGATTGATTTAAAATCCGGTTACCACCAAATTCGAGTCAGCATCCCCGACGTCCATAGGACGACGTTTCGCACACATGAGGGCCATTATGAGTTCTTAGTCATGCCTTTTGGCCTCCAAAACACGTCATCCACATTTCAGTCTATCATGAACGATATCTTACGGCCATTTCTGAGGAAGTTCGTTTTGGTCTTCTTCGACGACATCCTCATTTATAGTGCGACTATGACGGATCATGTGAGACATTTGGAAACTGTTTTGGGCATTTTGGTGGACAATCAGTTTGTGGCGAATTACAAGAAATGCCAGTTTGCAACATCCAAAATCGAATATTTGGGCATTTGATCTCAGCGGATGGAGTGGCTGTCGATCCTGTTAAGCTCGATGCAATGAATCGATGGCATCAGCTTGAAAACTTAAAGAGTTACGTGGGTTTCTTGAGTTGATGGGCTATTACCGAAAATTTGTGGCTAATTATGGAACAATTGCTTTCCGATTGACTTAGCTTCTAAAGAAAGACGGGTTTCACTGGAATTTAGAATCAGAGTTAGCGTTCCAACACTTGAAATCAGCAATGATGACTGTACCGGTTCTCAGGCTACCTGATTTCTCACAACCATTTGTGTTGGAAACGTACCTCCGGTGTTTTGCCATGACAACACCGAAACAGTGGGAGAAATGGTTAGCGTGGGCAGAATATAGCTATAATACGACCACCCATACGTCTACTATGCTTTCCCCATTTGAGGTTGTTTACGGTCCTACGGTACATCACTAAATCATCAGCGGTGAGTGAGGTTGATCGCCAACTCCGTGATCGTGATGTTGTGCTAGCAACATTAAAGGACCATTTGCACCGTGCCCAACAGAAGATGGTCAAGTCCACGAATGTTCATCGTAGGGATGTCTCTTTTGAAGTGGATGATTGGGTGGTGAAAATTTTCAATCCAGTTTGAAAAAACTCTCTTTTATGCAGGTGTTCACTTAATAGTGAATATTCAGGCACAGTAAGCAAATTGCAAGTTTCAAAGGTCACTCATTTCCTTTTTTTACATCTTTTCTGCTTTATTTCATTTGATACAAGAATGTAGATATTATATTATTGACTTCTTGAACAAATTTTGACTGGTTTCAATGATTTGTTTTTGGTATATTTATTGGAGTAAAGTTGTGTTTTGTCGGTTTTAATCCAATTGATGAAGAAACACAACGATTGTCTATGTGATATGGAAACATTTCGATAATTTTCTAATGTAAGTTGTGATTTG